AAAAAAAAAAGGAGAACGATAGAGTTTAATATCCTTAGTGTTAATTAACACCTGTGAAGCTAATTGTTGCTTTTCTATAATAATAGATCTGTAAGTGTATGTACATCTTTTGACATTTGGTGACTCCTTAAAGTAGAAATGAAGGGAAACACAGAGCAAAACCCACCTTATGCTGCTCATATTTTAAAATTATTAGACTATGTGATTGTTAAACATTGACACTGAAAAGACTTACCAACGCTAGAAAGTGCTCACAAATACACCCCAAAACTCTGGACAATTAAAAATCTTCAACCCCACTGGGTTTAAAGAGTGACAGACACTGTACCTGGGCAGGAGAGCCACCACAGTGGAGAGGATGCAGATAAGGTAGAACATGGGGTCCTCCATCTGGCTCTGGAGGATCCAGTAAGGGTTAGAGGGAGGGTTGCAGGTTACACAGACGGCGCTGTAGGCGAGTGTCACGATGAAGTACAATGCCACACTGCCCAGCATGATTATCCAGTGAACCACCGTCTGCGGCACAAATGATAAAAAATAGCAATTACATGTGGTGGAAACAATCCAGTTAGCAACAAATACCCGTTAATTCTCTGTTTTCTGCAGCAAGAGAAATATTTACGGCAAAAAGATTTTTTTCATGCACCCCGCCCTCTTCATCAGTTTTTTTTTTTTTTGCATTACTTTGTTTCCATGCTTCTGTTGAACTTGCATATAAATTAAATACCTCACTTAAAATTTTGGAAAGTATGCATATGTATAAAAAGTTAGGAATAAGTTTAGTGGTTTGTTAGTAAATGCATAAAATTTCGTCTTTCTAAAAAGAGATACGAATATTTGTATTTTGAATATTTGGAGTAAAAGCTGTGGATTAAAAATGATTACTGAAAAAATGATGTAGACCCTTATTCCTTAGTTTTACTTTATTCTGCCTATATTCACAAAGTTTTCACAGAAAGGCTGTTATACATCATCCAGATTTCAAGAACATTTTTCTCCTGGAAACATAGAAAAACCATCTAGGTTAACTCTCTATTGCATTTTCTAATTTATGTGTGTCTTCCTTTCATTTAAAACCAGTTTAGAGGTCTTAAAAATGTTAGAATTCGAATATGCACTAATAAAAAGAAGTGAATTAAAGACATTTCTACTGAGGTATATCATGATTATGTCAGTTCAGAACTCACCCAGGATTTGATCTCTATTGACAGATGCATCAGGATGATAAATAAAGCAGATGTGTTCATAGGTGTTCCAAAAGTGAACATATCAATGTCTGAATCCTGGTAGACCTGAGATAAAAGTGAGTAAAGTAAGTACACTATCAAATATAAAGCAGAAAGCAGTTATCACATAGAGTAGCTAACCAGTAAATAAATCAAATGACGCCCTGTTATGAAAGAATTACTTAATGCAATCAAAGATTAGACTGTTTAAAATGTGTCACTTACAAAATATGGAACAAAGAAGCAGACCAGACTCTGATAGAAGGCATCGAGGATGGAAACCCAGAAAGTTGTAAACCTGTAATCCTGAACAAACAACACAAAAGTTGGATTTCATGAAGACAGAAACTAATCAAAGCATTCTGCACATTTTTATTCAACACCGAACGCTCGCATGACTTTTTGGGAGTGTCACTAACCCCTTCACCCTGTCCAGTCTTGTACAGCTCGGGCACACCCAGCAGCATCTCTGCTGAGATGTCTTTGTCCATGACTCCAAACATTATGGGTGGCACAGAGGTGAAGAAAAGGTTGAAGAAAATCATCAGCCAGTAGTCGATCATGGCAGTGGCAGAGAATCCGCAGAAGAACTGATACCAGAACAGCAGGTTTACGTAGGCCTGAGAAACATTTAAACACAGACAGTTAAAGGATGAATCATGACAGGATGTTAATTTAGACAGCAGAGCATCGGGATGCAGATATAACATATAACACTCACCACGTTCTTATAGAAGAAATAAATGATCATGTTGGCCAGTCGAGTGTAGCACCAGTGTCCGTGGACCAGGAGAAGTTTCTTCAGGTGTTTGAAGCGAGATATGGCAAAATCACTGGCCATGGCGGCCTGCAGATGACAAAGACGAGTTTTGATGCGTTTGAGGCTGTGAGGCAGGAGAACAAAGCACATACATGGAGGTAAAGAAATCAATTCCAACCTGCATCCCCTCCTGTCCAGATATCCCAATGCCAATGTCAGCTGCTTGGATCATATTTACATCATTTGCACCATCACCTGAAAACACAGCACAGACGCTGATTTAGTGGTTTATACAGAAGCTTAAAAATGTTTTAAGATTCACTCGATTCACAAACTCTATGCACTGTATTGAGTCTTATTCTCTTTACTACATGGATTTAAGTCGTTAGTGAACACGACACTGACTTATTATCACGTTTTAAGCTGCTATGGGAAACCTATCAGGAAACGGGTCAGTATGATTACTAATTTATCTCATTTAGCCCTGTGATTGGTCTCTAAAAAGCTCTCTGATAACCATACATTTGCATGAAAATAAACGTTTTCTCGGTAAGCACACCCTTACCACTTCCTTAGGACTTAGGAAGTAGCAGCCAGGTGCTGCTAAACAAACTGATCATTTGCTATATGTTTGCTGGTCTGGTGCAATATGATGCAATAATGTATTACAATTAGAAAAAGACTGGACAGGTATGGCTTGTTTTACAGGGTTCCCAGGAGAAAGCCTCTTCTCTCTAAAAACAACATGGCAGCAAAGTTACATCTGAACCAACCACAAGACTTGTGGAACAATGTCCTTTGGACAGGTGAGATCAAAGTGGAGATGTCTGGCAGTAATGCATAGCACCACATCTGGCAAAAACTAAACATGGCATATCATCACAAGCACCTCACAAAAGTGCATGGTGATGGATGCGTCATCATTTGGATTTGTTTTGCAGCTGCAGATGCTGGGCATCTTGCAGTCATTGAGTCAACCAACTCCTCTGACAGTTAAAGCTAAGCTGAAACGAACTCGTGCAATCATCCCAAACAGAGAAGCAAATCTACAACAGGAAGATTAAAAAAAAGAAAAGAATCGTGATGCTGCATTGGTCACACCTCAACCTGACTGAAATGCTTTAAGACAGCTGTGCACATAAACAAATGCCTGCAAACCTCAGTGAACTGAAAACTGTAGAGAGAGCCAAAGATTCCTCTACAATGATTTGAGAGACTGATAAAGTAATAACGAAAACAATTTCTTATAGTTATTGTTGCTAAAGGTGGTTCTACAAGCTCCTGAATCATGGGTGTGTTTAAACTTCACAGTCCTGTGAAAGTTTCTTTTGTAGGAGCGGCTTTCTGTGAAGTGAACTAAAGCGCAACAATTAAACAAACATCTGAAGTGGGCTCCAAATACAGGTGACAATTTTAACTTGATCAGTATGAGCACTTTTTCACTTTGCTACATTATTGTCATGACCATCAGCTAATACAGCCACAATTCCCATTGTTTCCAGTCAGACTGTCTCACTGATATGTTGAGGTTTCCAAAAGCTTTCCAGTGTCTATATGAGCCTCTCCTATAGGCAATGACGTCTTCCTTTTTGCCTTATTCTTTTAGTTTTACCTCTTGAAATATTTGACCCAAAGTGTACCTGTGTTTGACCTCAGTGTTTGGTTCAGAAATTATACAAAGAAAATGTTCTTGGTCACTTTCATATTATTTTTACTGTATTTTATGTATGATGGGAAGAAGTCAAGAACACATTAAATTAACTTTTTACTATACTGAACATGTAAGCATTTCATTGATTTTCTTACCAACGGCGAGTGTCATGACCTTGAGTTTCTCCCGGATCACTTTCACCACTCGGCTCTTCTGTAACGGCGTGACTCTGCAGCAGAGCACGGCGCGGCAGTGCTTCACCAGGGCCACAAAGCGATCCAGCAGGTCCGGAGACAAAGCCTTTTCCAGGGTAAGACCGTCAATCACCAGAGACATGTTTAGGGTGGTATCCACATTACGAGGATCAGCGTTGTACCTCCTCACTTCTTCCAGGGTGCAGTCCAGGATGTTCGTACACGTGAGCTGAAAAACAGCAGCTGATCATTTAGATGATTTTTGCTTTGAAGTTTGTCAAACGTGAGCTAAAAATTGTTGTAAAGAGTTCCTACTTTCCTCTTTTGTTAATAATGAAAAACGAAATACGCCTGGGTTCTGGACAGATTTCCAGAAAAAATAAACACGCCCATTTTTTTTGGTATTTTAGCAACACGATTACTCTACTGCTGATTCACATTCATGATTTCTGAATACAAGCAGATATCAGGCTCTGGTCCCATCAGACTCATCATTGTTGTGTGTAAATAACTCCAACAAAAAGGAAACTGATGGAAGAAAAAGGGTTTTTTTTCTATTTTTATTATTTTAAATTTCATTAGGCTTTGGTAGGACGCTGGTTGTGGGAGTGTATCTCTCAGGTGATCACCGAGTTACGATGGTAGAAAAAAATGGTTCGCTTCTAATATGCCTCCACTCTGGATTATGAGAGAATTATTTCCTCTGAGGTTTGAACATTAGACTGGTAATTAGATATGAAAGCATTAGTTATTGTGTTGAGGCTATCTCACTCCATTCATCATCAGTGACTAGTCCATCTGAGGGAAGCGCAGCAGCCCGTTTGTTTCAGAAAGTCCCACATGTATCCCTCAGGGCCGACAGCCAATTTCAGTCTATTTGAGGCTGCCGATGATTAGACATGGTCAGGTTGTTATGAAGGCTTCATTTCGGTGGTACCAGTTCTTTAATGACCTAAGAGAAGCAGGGCTACACCTGACACCTTATCTTTCTCTGATGGAAATGCGGAGGTTTGACCTTTAGTTAAAATGTAAAAGTGGTCACAAAGGTTCAGTCATTTAAATTGGAAGGATACAAGCTCACAGGAGGAGAAACTTACCCTGAAGTTACTGCTGGGAAAACACACAACTTTCCTTGAAAGACCATCAAAGAAAATCAGTGTTGTCCCCTGAAACAAGCTGTATGTGATTCTGTGAAATATAAATTACACATTTCCCTAATCTGCTTTAAAAGGCCAATGTTTAATAGACTTTTCATATCTGTTAGCTACTAATGCTTCCGGTCTTCACAATGTTTTTAGTTTTTGATGAATTAAAATAATGGAGGAATTGGTCCTCTTTCCTTTGAACCCTGTTAGAGTATTTATTATTTACTAATGGTGTGAATCTGTGTGTTTATTGAATAATTATGAACTTCAACTAAAAGGGTTCAGGATTTAAACTAATTCCACATTTTTTACAAGAAGTTTGTAAAAACTTTTGTTTTAATGTATGCGCACTATAATATTTTCCTCTTCAGACATAGGTGATACAATTAAATGTAACCATGCAAACAGTTTAATGGTCTTCTACTTTGTGCTCTTTGGTCAGCTATGCCATTTAACTTCGATATTTTTTTTAAAAACAATATCAAACTGCAAGAGCACAGAAATGCTGTTATTTAAAAAAAAATCTGCTCCAGTAGATTCTTAAGATAACAATTTGCTTTGATGATTTCTTCTTTCATGCAGAGGGTCATCGCTGCTCTGTTACATACACCTGCAAATCTCCAGACAGAAAACTAGGCACCCTGGAATGTTTCTAAGGTTTTTTTTCCGAGTCTCCTGTAAAATCTGACACCCTCTGTCCCTTTAATTTCTGTTTTATTTAATTAGTGGTAGTTTTAACACTCAAACAGTGGCGCTTTTTGTCTTGAAAACTGGGAACACCTCTCCTCTTGCATCAGGAACACTGAAAGTGAAGGTAAATTTCTGATTTGACTGGTGTAGAAAGTCTTGTATAAAATTCCACCAACTTTTTGGTCAGATTTCCTTATTCTGACTAAATCAACACCTCTAATTTTATCAGATTGGGTACTTATTCAAATCACCAGAAGATAGACATTAACAAGATTTTATTTTAACCTTTTATTTAAAATTATTATTTTTTGTTAAAAGTTAGATTCCATGATTTGACACCACAATCTGCACTGTAAATAGGAAGATGCCACTGTTAGTCAGTTAGCTTAGTGTAACATCTTGAATCCCCTTTCTGACACAACCCTCCACATTTATCCAGGCTTGGGACAGGTACTAGGAGTACACTGGCCCCCTAGGATAAAACTACTTTTGACTGGTGCCTTGATGCAAGGGGTCGCCACAGCAGGTGGCAGATTTTTTTTTAAAGTCAGATGTCATTTCTGACACAACCCAAAGGGGATTTGTGTCTCATCCTGGGACCTTTCCCTTGTTTGCCGAATCTGTACTATCTACATATTTACCATGCACATGAGTGTTGTAGGTTGCACAACCTAAGTACATTACTTTGATTTCCGGAAAAATAAATTAATGCTCCGTTTTCAACACATGCCATAATGAAAAACACCTCAGTCAGCAACCCTTAAATGTGAGGCCTCCTCACCTTGTCTTTGCAGCCCATATTTATCACCAGGTCTTCGTCTTCAAGGAGCCCACAAGCATATCCAATGTTGACAGCTGTCTCTGGCTTGTCACCTGTCAGCACCCACACCTTGATCCCTGCCTCGCGCAGTGCCTGGATGGTGTCTGGAACGTTCTCCTGCAGACGGTCTTCAATGCCTGTAGCTCCTGCAGGCGGACATATTTCAAATGAAGGCACCATTCGCACACAAATATTATCACAAAGATATACAGTATACAGCAACCAATGCGCGATTGGTGGATGTGTCACCTAGCAGGGTGAGATTTTTCTCTAGCTGCACAGCAGTGTCCATGACGAGCCTCTCTCTATTCTCTATAGCAGCCATAGCGTTCTTTCTGTCCACTGACCAGTGTTTATACACTGCTTCACTCACAACCTGAAACACATGCAGAAAAAAAATGAAACATAGCTTCACTTAAATAAGCAAATCATGCTGGTAAATAGGATAATGTATGATTTTGCACCTTCTTTGCGATGCACAGTGTGCGGAGCCCCTCTTTAGCATAGCAGTCGAGATGACGCTGAGTAACAGTTGCTATATTTTTCTTATTGCCACTGAAGTGCTCTGGAAATATTACAAATTAATTAGAAATGCACCGACCAGTTAATATAGATGCATACTATAAGTACTTAATGTACTCTTATCTCAACATACCTGCATAGGGTGTACCAAGTAATTCCATGATTGCAAAATCTGCGCCTTTAGTGTACAGAATATACTCTTTGGTGATTGGGTGTCGCACCAACACAGACATTCTCTTCCTGTTGGAGTCAAAGGTCAAGGTGTCCAGCACCTCAAAATCCAGCACCTCCCCAGATGGTAGTCTCACTGAAACGCTGTCAGGGGTGCGAGACAGCAGATTGAAGCCATATGCTTTGGCAGCATAGACCAAGGCAGCCTCATCTGGACTCTCCGCCTCATATCTCAGATTATCTGAGGTCAGCGCGGGCTCGTCGCTCAGGGATGGAGGATGAAGCGAACACGGCCGGAGCGCGGTGATGCCGACCTCCTCTGTTTGTCCAGAGGGTTGAAAATTCTCCTCTGAGTCCTCTGTGAAGGTACGGTGTCTCTTGGGATTGCGCTTGCAGAATTTAAAAATGCTGCCAGCATTTCTCATCAGGCTGGATAAAGTTTCCAGTGGAGTATTTGTGTGCTTGGCTTGTGGAGACACACTCACCTGAGAAAAAAAACAAGAATCAAGAAATTCATTAAATAGCTTTAGGAAGACCTCTTCTCACATTACACATATGGCAAAACGTCCCAGTAACAATTCTTTTTCCACTCAGTTTCTTTTTGTGCATTAACCTTTGATTGTGAACTCAGGGGGGAAAAACACACAGATTACATCCATCATC